GAATAAGTGTAATTTACAGCATTATCTTCAAGAACAGGTTTGGTATGTTATGTGTTATTAAGTATTGGAGAATATTTTGAAGGAATAGGTATTAATAGATAGAATCCATAACCAGATCATTGTGAGATAAAGTGGTCAGATAAAGGTTCTGGTTCATTTGATAAGTGTATTAAGCACTCACTATAATCTAATTTAATTGATATTACCAGTATGAAGTTATAAAGATTAAGTGGTGTGTAGTTGTAAGGATGTATGTGTTCAAGAAAGGAATAAAGAGTTTATGGATGTGAAAGTAGAAGTAGGCCTTGATGGGCTAGCCATTTGTTATAACATGAGTCTGGATTGACTAATGTATTGTATGATGGGTCTTGTGATGTTTTCTTGAAATGTGATGATGCAATGAGATTCAAGAAAGTAGAAAGTTCCTCTGTAGATTTGATCACTGTATGCTCGGCTCTCATAGCTGCAAAGAGTTCCATAGCCTGCTCTGTACATTGAGTCTGGTCGTCATAAACTTGGTTCTCTGCGTGAAACCTTTTATATAATTTTTTTACTTTCTTATAGTTGATTTTTATTTTTTTAAAAAAGTACTTTAAACTGTATAAATAATGAAAATTAAATTAAATTTATTAGCCAATTAGATGAACTTCTGCTTATGACATTATAGCCACTTTTAATATAATTACAATCTTGATATAATCACATTATTTTTTAATTAAATTATTATAAGACATATAAAATTTAAACTTTAGATAATCACAACTTTTTACTTTAATATCAAAAAAAATCAACTTTTAATAATTACCTGATTTTTGTTTTTTAAACTAATGATTATATCAAGGTTTGATAGTATTTATCAATCATTATGAAATTGAAATTTGGAATCTTAATTTGAAAATATAAGTCTTAACAAAATCTACATATACTCTTTTATTAATAACTCTAACCCTAAATCTTAACTATAAAAAAAAGCTGCCAAAAAGACCCTCTTCAAAAAAATTACAAATTATATATAAAATAGATCCAAATTTCATAATAATCCGATTTCACGATAATCCGTGACAGTTTTAAAAAACCTCAGAATTTTAAAAAGGATTTTCATCCTTCTGACATATTTCGACCCGGAAATTTGGTAATCCCCCTTGTATAAAAAATTGTAAAATTAGTGGAGCAACCAAAGTTCAGCGGATTGGCCAAAAATTTAGGGTCGGAATTGGCCCGGAGCTAGGTCGGCATTAAGCAATAATACTAGTCAACTATACTACACAGTTGGGCACATAGTAAATTTTTTTAAGTGCTTATAAAGAAATTGTGCTTATATGGAGGGCTATTTCTTATAAATTATAAATGTGATTACATATAATGTGATTATATGGGAGGTGACTATATGGAGGGATGACTGTACAGCAAAATTACATGTGGACTACCATTTTTATAAGTAAAAATTTGACACCATCTATGATTAAATAGAATCTAATTGCTTGTTGGCCAGACACTATAGTTACTGTATAACGAATTATGGTAAGATGCAAGATTTCAAAGATACAAAGTAGAACATGAAATGACAAATTGAGATGTGTAAAAATTTATTTGCATTATAAATATGTATATAATATGATATGTATATTGAGAAGTTATGAACATACAAAGTATATAGTAGGAAAAAAGATTTATTTTAATGGATCACCAAACAAGAATAGTGAAAATACATTTGTGTATAATATAATTTGTATAAAGCGAAACTTTGAAAAATACTTTTAAGTACTAAAAAGACTAATAATAACTAAGTTAATAACTACTAAATGGAATAAATTTTGATACATTGGAACATATTATTTCGCAAGGTTGTTTTTTTAGATATTTTGACAAAACAAAAAAAAAAGATGATTAGTGCAAAAATATCAACCATTAATTTTGTAGTTGTTATGGCGGGTATTTTCTCCAGTCACGTGGGGCGCGCTTCAAACCAGAAGCAGCACAACCACGTACAGCCTTTACGGATTTCGACCAACGCTTCTCTTCGAAGCGACGGAGGAGCTCCGAGATGACAATATCGTCAACAAATACCATTTGATTGTTGCTGAATAGCAGAAAATTCTTCTGCTGACCAGTCGTAGTCCAGAAAACTATCGAGAAGGTCAACAATAGTTGCTTCAGCATTTGTGGAGGACACATCCAAATCGGAAAGGTAGGGGTTATCGACGACATCCCGTAAAGGTTCCTCGTCTTGACGGGCCGCTGCTGGGACTTCTCGGACGATTCTCTTGGAAAGGATACATTACTTAAGGAGGGAGGTAGGAGTAAAAAATCCTCAGGACTATCATTATTATTAATAGGATCCTCTTTAAGATTAGAAAAATCCAGAGATTCTTTTTCCGAGGCCGCGGATACTGCAGATCCGCGAACACCATCAAGGAGGACTTTATTCATCTCGGATACGGCTAAATGAGATTGAATTTCAGCGAGTTGAGCCGAAATTGAATCAAGTTTTGCAGACAAATTTGCATTTTCCTCTTCAACAACTTTTAAACGTTTAGATAGATGTGAATTTTCTTCTTTTAGAATAGTATTTTGAGATTCTAAATCAGCCATTTGTCTACGTTTTTTGTCTCGAGACATTTGAGCAGCATGACGATTTCGAAGAATTCTAAAAAAAAATTTGAAAAATTTTTTGAGAAAATTAATTTTACGCGTAAAATGAACAGAATAAAGAAAAATGAAAAAAAATAAAGAAATGTGAATATGTGAAAACGTTTATGAAAAATTGTAAAAATACCTTTCACGTTGTCTCTGCTCTTTTTCTTCAAGACTTTCGGCTTTTCTCTTACGACCACCAGCTGACTTCTTTTTTTCTTCAGTTGATACATTATTAGTTGAAGATTGTCGTTCAGAAGGATCAGCTTCAGAAGTAGGAGAAAAAGATATGGAGGAAATAGGACTAAACAGGGCAGGGGCGATCGGCTTCATTGGCGTTATTGAAGGGGCCAAATTTGGTAGAGTTGTGGAATTATTTGACGTTCTGGTGAACATGCAATCGTTGCTTGCCGCGAGTTTTCGCAACTCTTCTATATTAATGAAATCTTGTAACGTGAAAATACCAGTTGGCGGTATACGACTCTCCTCATCATCTGCTTCTAAAGTATCCCTTAAATCAGGGGACGTAACAGTAGACGATAAAGTAGGAGTATAAAGAAGAGGAGAATTTTCTAAAAGTTGTGAAATACTCGTTTCTGTTCTTAAGTCTGAGGTCACCATGTCCTCACTCCAGGTATTAGGAACATGGTTTGCAGAACATTTATAATCGGTTGCTGACGATGAAGATGGAGTAGTAGAGGACATGGTGACCTATGAAATGGTTTCCGCCTTATGAATACAGTATGATTCCAGTTCTAAAAAAATTCTAAATATATACAAAAAAAAAAAAAGAAAAAATTTGATATCGAATATTATTATTATTATTAATTAATTGATAATGAGAAATTTTTGAGGAAAGAAAGTTGAAAAAAATGCACCTGGGTAGGGCGAAAGCTTGTGGCTTTTATCTTGAACGAATGAAAGCACTATATGAGAATAGACAAATTTGGGGAATAATTTAGGAAACCTCTTGAAACTGTAATGTGTTAAATTTTCATTGGGTGGACCTTTGATAATCGAAACATAAGAAAAAAAGAGGGAAATGTGGAGAATTAGTATTGGACAGTTATGTTTGTTTGTGACTGCGGAACAGTAATAAAGTTTAATAAACAAAAATGAGGATAATTATGATTGGATATTTAGATCTTGTATTACCGTTAAGTACTTGCTACGTAGCAGGCTTCGCCATTTGACTCGTGTTATCCTTCCGTGAGGCTTAGGATCATTCCACAGCCAGGATTTTTCAATTATCTTCAGAGTAACGGAATAAGCCCATCTATCTATGGTATATCAAAATTCATATAAATCATCGAATATTATTTTCCCCTCAAAAGTTTATTTGCGGCGTTTATTGCATAGCCCATGACTTTCTATCTTTGCTTAATTCTAATAATTGACTTTGAAAGTCTTAATAGAAAATTTTCATCACAAATATGTATTAAATAAGTCGGTACGAATTTCCTATTATGCGTATCTTCTCGCCGTATATCAAACGTATTATGTTTCATGCTATTGCTTATACGTATAACGATAATGATGATAAGAGAATTTAGAGTTTACCATTATAAATATTCTTTTTTTTAAAAAATAATAAAAAATTATACTTTAGTGTTTTGTATATATAATTCTTCAAGTATAATATATCAGAAATTTCTAAAATATTTTGGTATTCATTCTAATAAGGATGGTCTTTAACTAAATGAGAACATGATCACTAACGATTCCGGATTGTTAAAAACTCATGCAAATCCGAAAAAAAAAATCAAGACTTTATACCAAATCGGTGCCGAATTTGCCTAATTATGTCAAAGTTTCGTCCAAAAACGCGAACTTTGGTGTGATCTATCGCTATACAAAAAAGCCTTAGCATTAGGATTTGGATGGTAACCGAACGTCATTTCCTTTTTAGGAAGACCCTAGCCTCTAAAGTTTATTTCTAATGATCCGATTAAAGGCATTTCAATGATTTTTTCATAATAATTCATAGTGCTCTTAATTTATTAGAAGTTTGATCGTTTGTGCAGCATCATGTGTTTCGGAGCTTTGACTACGAATTGAAAGAAATCTATCACTATGATTACAGCAGTTTTCGTCAATTTAAAAAAAATTGCTATTTCTTGGATCTAGTCCTGAGAGACGTATCAAATTCTAAATATATATAATATAATATATAAGCAATCAGAATAGACTAAATATCTCTAGAGAGATAGGATAACCGGCTTTCCTTGTGTGGTTTTACCATGAAATCGCTTACATATAACTCTGATGTAATTGCCATAACCTAATTTTCAGATTATCACGTGTCCAGGTTTTTTTGTTGAACTAAGATCGATGATTATTTAACTTGCTACATTTTTCTGAATATAGATGCAGACCTATGTATCTTTTCATATATGGCAATATCATAAATATATACCACTAGGAAATCAGAATCTGATATGCAGATCTTTCACGGGACCCATCATATCTCGAATTTCATTGGTTTTTTCAACCAGACATTGCATATGTGCATTCACTTTGTCTCGTACGTAGAGGTCCTCGCTACGCTTCAGGCAATAATTCTGCATCTGTTTCCCTTAACAGCGTTGTTCAATGGTAATTATCACATTCTTTTGTTGCATCGTTTATCACGTCGCGGTATATGTAAAATATTCGGTTTACTTATGATTAAAAATTAAAATGCGTGAATTAATGATGTTTTACTTAGCAAAAAAAAAAATCGATTTTTAAAAAACTGAGCTCAACCACAATATCTGATATTTGTCACTAACAAAATGACTTTTAAGATTATAATCGCAAATATTTCGGTTTGTTAGCAAAAATCTCATTTATTACATGTCAACTTGAAATGAAAATTCGAATCACTAGATGCTGCGGCAGTAGTACACTCGAAATAAAAAAAGAAACTATTTATAATTAGCGATATTACCTTTAATTGTTAAAGTATTCATTATTGTCCTTAACTAAAGTATTAATGAAATTTTTAATCTTTAATATACTACTAAACCGCTATTTAATTTACTCACGTTTTGTTAAAAATATATTCGCAATATATAGTACTACTATTATGTTATCAGCTCGTTTGGCTCCGTTATTAATCAGTTTTTATATAACATCCCTATTGAGAACTAAACCGAATATATGTGACATCAATATAATATAAATTATGCGATTTAGTGTTGTTTAATCATTAAATCAAAACCAAAATAATTTACATGTTCCTGCATTACAGACCTTACAATACGCAGTCGGGGATGAAGAATGCTTGATTGGTTAGGAGTTAATAACTGTCATGGATCATAATGAAATCGGATTAAAATGGATTTGGAGTTCTATTGACCTCCTAAAACCCACTTATACTTGTTTAATATCAATATAAATTCTACCCTTAAAGCTAACCCCTGACTCTAAAAAAAATGCAAAAAAATTGCACTTCAAATTTTGTATTTTTCGGTGGCTTGTCCATTTTACACTACAAAATTTCATTTTAATCCGCCACAATAACTATATGGGATCAATCCGTACCGTTAAGTATTTGAGAAAATTTTCTTAAATTCAAATATTGATGCTAAATTCAATTTTAAAACCGAAAAATATGTATAAGTAAAAAAATAATTGTAGTAAATTGTGTTTATTAATATTATGTAACCAAAACTTGTACCAAGGATAAAGTATTTGCACAAGAATACGGTCCAATAAATATCAGTTTGATCAAAAGTCAATGTATTACTACATATTAAGATATCTATCTACATAAAGCCAACATTTTTTTTGAATTCCATATTATTAAATATATTTGCGATATATAGCATTACTTCCTTGTGTAGTTCACTTTCTTACATTATACTATTCAAGATAATCAGGTGTTTTTAATATCAGGTGTAAGTACGATAGGCAGTGATAGATATAATATTTGGCACGCTCTTAATTAATTGATAAATATAGATGATTTAGAAGTTTCTTAGATCAATTTCTAGAAATGGTAAATTCTTAAATTGTTTCGGATATTATGGAAACTGTTTATAAACAAAGCAACTGTCAACGCCATATCAAAAGCCTCATTGTTTAATAGGCGGTACTACGTATAATTCAACAAATATTTTGTAAACTCTTTTAGTGTCTTATCGCAATGCAAATCAACTTAATGATTACTTATTATCTTTATGGCTTATGCTTATATCGTGGCAGAGTGAAATAGTTATGATAAAATGCCAAATGGCAAATGCCAGTCTTTGTTTTGATCTTGATCGTTAATATATATTATTATTTATGTTATACCAATACATTATTTCTTTATTATTATTTTTAAAACCTCTAACCAATTTTATGATTAAATATTGCATACCCTCGTTAATATCAACCCATATAAATCAAGTGATATAAGAGACTGAATAATAAATATTAATATTCATATAGTGTATACTAACAATTAAATAAACCTTTAAGCTTATACAAAATCACATTAAAGATGCAAAAATAAATTTATTGGTTTACCAGTTAATGTTTATTATATATATATTTAAATGTCTAAACGTCGAATGCGAATCTTTAGACATAAATATCACATAATTTAAATCAATAGAAACTTATAGTTGTGAAGCATATTTATTCGATCTTTAGTTCAATCTTAGTGATTTTATCGCTATTAAAATCATAAAAAGTTATTTAACTAATAATTAATATATACTTTTTAGTAAGGATGTATAACCTCTATCAAGACTCATGAGCAGAAGTTCATTTGATTGACTAATGCAAGTCAATTTCCTGACTAACTTATTTATATGTTTAGAGTACTCAAGTAACTAATTACGGTTCTAGTTTTAGAGAAGTTAATTTTACGTAAAAATAATCTTAAATAATATCTAAGGCCATACAAATTTATATTTTCGGTTTTCATATCACCAACTGACCTCTCGTGACCCGCCGATCCGGATTTTAATGGTTTTTTTACAGCTGTTATCATTATTCCTGGAACACCTTGTGAAAAATTAACCGAGTGATTATTCTGCCAATTCGATAAGTGTACCGTTTATTACCTGGTAATACGTAGATGCTAATCGATTTGCAGTGACAATTATTAATCGGTAATGACCAGATAACAAATATCGATATAATTCTAGTTAAGTATTATATTCAGTCAAAAAAAATTTAGAAGGGTTATAAATTCGAACAACTGCTAAACACTTAGGTTTCAATCAATAGAGGTTTTCAAAGTTAACATGCGGGAATCAGAAATAGATGACGATAAATTTGAAATGACGTTGAAAGTATTTATTTCGTTAAATGAAGATCTTCATTTCATTTTCCGATTTTAAAATTTTTCAAACTCTTATTTAATTTCAAACCCACTAATTTCAAAGATATAAGAAATCACGTCTATTAAACCTGAATGATATAAAATATCTTAAGACTTTAATAAAAGAAAAGCCTAACTGATATTTGTATTAGAAATGGAACGCCTTGTTTTTTTTTTTTTTTTTTTTAAAAGCGAGGTCTTGCCTCAGTTTTCTTTATTGAAATTTATATATAGGTATATTACA